TTTCCTGGGTCTTTTCTTGGTCCTGGAGGTCCTCTTGCTTTGCTGCCTATCACATAAATGAACGAGTTGACAACCGCGCAGACTTAGTTTGCCATCAAGTCGCCGGCGGAGCCACTTGACATGCGCCAAAAATGACATCGTGCGCAACTAAATTCGAATTGGTCCGATTAGATAATTATCAATGTAATTATAAATTTTAATTATATTTATTTTAATTAAATATAAAAATAAAAGTAAAAATAAACATTAAAAAATATATATATACGAAAAATTGATAAATGAACAAAATACTTGAGATAAATAACAGATAAATGTATAAATAAATAATTGTATTAATAAACTAGTAGTGTATGGCATCGTGCCTTCAGGCAAATTGCTGGAACTTGCAGTACAGTAATTAAATATTCGAGGCATATTAAATGTCCTAAACGGTAGTATTCATTGTTCTTATTTTGTAGACAAAATATATGAGCTTATGAATTGGACGACAACGTTTATATATGTTTACAGAAAGGTAAATTAAACTTAATAGCCTAATATTTCTAAGAATTATATAAACTAATTGAGAAGTTAAAATTATTTATTTGAAGTACATAAGTGAACTTTGGAAATTATTAAAATTAAAATTCTAATTATTTTCGATTCTAAAAATTTTTTGCTCTTTCCTAAAAGCAATCGTATAGGCACAAGCAAAAAGTTTTTTGAATTATTAACTATTACCCTAGGAAAAGTTAAAAATTAAAAAATAAAATACTAACAATAAAGAAAAATCATGAAAACAAAGATAATACTGAAAAAATAGAATAAAAAACTTGACACATACTATTTTCCAATTTTGGTCTCAAACGAAACAAAAACAAAACTGTGTGTCAGTGGCATTTTGCCTTGAGGCAAGTTGCATGAATAATAACTCGATAGAAATTGAGATTTACTTAAATAAAATTTACAATTGTGAATTATGAAAATATTTCTTTCGCTTTTCACTAAAAACTAATTAATGCGATTTCCAATTGATATCTATCAAACACTAATTATACTGATAGGCACACACACATATTTGTTATGTCCTGAAAGTGACCTACAATTTTCTTAAGCCTCTACTAACTTAAGGTATTCATTTAGTACATGAATTATATATAAGGATATGTTATATTAAATTAAAGATGCTAAAAAAAATTATTTAACATTTCAGCCCGGTCCTAAAGTAATCAGCATGATTTTCCAAATTATATCTTTCAAATAGGTTTTCGAATTTTCAAAATCAATTCAATTTCTAAAACGCGGACAAATTTGTTTCTCCTGTTTTGGAAAATTTCAACGAAAAGTCAAAAATCGGCCCCAAACACACTACTTTTTCCAAATTTGGTATCAAATGATTCAAAATAACTCGAAACGTCAAGTAAACAAAATTAGCAAATCGTCTAACACAAACTTCTTTGGGAAATTAATAAATAGTAAATTTACTTTAAAATTTAAAAAAAAACTTAGCAAAACCAGATATGAAACGAATTAATGGCATTTCTGTATATTTATATGATACTTTTCCTAAATTTGGTATCAAACGATTCAGAATAACATGAAATGACGAGTGAATATAAAATTATCAAATCGTCGGAAACGAACTTCTTTTGGACGTTAATAAATAGTGAATTTACATTAAATATTTAATACAAAAAACTTACAATTAGCAAAACCGAATGATGAAACGAATGGAATTTCAGTGTATTTATATGGGACATACGAAAATTAAATTTGGGAACAATTGAATATTGCATTTATTAAAAACATGTTACCTTTTTTTAATTTCAAAATCTGTTACAACAGTAAAATAAAATAATATTTAGTAACATAAGTAAATAGTAATATAAATAAAAACAAAATTGAGTACAAATTAAAGTATAGTATTTTCATTAAAATGATATCCGCATTAGGATGATTTAATATAAAATAAAAGCAAGTAATGATAAAATAAATAAAATTTATGATTATTAAAAATAATACTAAAAACATGTAATAATAAAAACATTTCACAAATCGTAAAGTTCATGCAACTTGGCTTAAGGCAAAATGCCACTTACACTCAGTTAACTTCTGAATTTTTATATGTTTACGTTTCAAAGATTTCTGAACATTTCGGCATACCTTAGAAAAATGGATGTGTGTGCGGATTCAAATTTTCGTCGACGATTTCGGGAACACCGATCAACCGATTTGAATAATTCAAAAAACAGTCGATTCGTATTGATAAGGAGACGTGCTAATTAGTTTTTGGCGAAGGCAGGTCTAGCCGTTCGGAAGATACGGGAAAAAAAGTGCCAAAACGGTAATTCAGTTCGAGAGAACGGAGCGTCCGATTTGGATGATTCAAAAAACATTTATCCTGTAATGACGAAATGAATAATTGCTGAAATTTTTGGAAAGGCAGGTCTGGCGGTTTCGGAGATGCAGAGAAAAAAGTAAAAACAAATGATATTTGGTGGTCAAAAATGTGCATTAGCCGTATGCACATCAAATTATCAGATAATTGATGAAGATTTTAAAAATGAGTACTAATTTTTTATTGGGTTCCGTACCAAGATTTTTACTTATAAGCTAAAATCAAAATTTTCAAAAATATACGAAGTTTTATACATCAAATATGAATTTTAAATTTACAATTCAGTTTCAAAATGTATATTTAAGAAATATATCCTCAGATGGATTCATTCGGCACCTCTTGCTAATATAAACTTTCTCAAGTGCTTTGAGTGATAACATCCTCACTGTATGAAGGATAAAATTTATAGACTATATATATAATATAGTGATTATAATTATCTATTTGAAAATGTATAAAACAATTCTTGTAAACGATTGATCAATATTTATCGATTACTGATTTTTTCCCTCGAATATATATTTCTGGTACGGGATGTTCCGGCATTTGGCTTTAAGGTATGATGCCATGCACCACTAGTTAACTTTAAGATAAAATAAGATATTAAAATATTACGGCTCTACCACAAATAGTTTAATGTTAATTCATCAAAGTTTGAGAAAATATAGTCAAAATTTGTGTCATTTGATATTTGCTCTTGTGATGTGATAAGTCAAACATTTTCAGAAAATTCAATTGGAAATCGCAATGTTTAGATTTAATTGAAAGAAACTACTTTGTTTTTAAAACAGTTGAAAATTTTATCGAAATATCAAAATCTCAATTTCGATTCATTAAGTCAATTATTACACATTTCGGGAAGTTCATGCAATTTGTCTGAAGGCAAAATGCCAATTTTCAACTAGTTAACTTCCAATAGGGTAGTTATAAAAGTTAGTAAAAAAAAAAAGATTAGGCGGTCAAAAATGAACATTAGCCGTATGCACATCAAATTATCAGATAATTGAAGTTTTTAAAAATAAGTACCATTTTTTTGCGTTCCGTACCAAGATTTTTACTTATACGGTTAAAGGTAATATCAAAATTTTCCGAAAAAGAATTTAAAATTTTAAAATATACATAGTTTTATACATCAAATATGAATTTTAAATTTACAATTCAGTTTCAAAATGTATATATTATTCTAATCGTAAGAAATATATCCTCAGATGGATTAATTCGGCACCTCTTGCTAATTGACGGGGAAAAGTGGTTATTAGTTTTTGGCAAAGGTAGGCCCAGCGGTTTTGGAGATACAGAGGTAAATGTTAAAAAATGGCAGTTTTTGAGAGAAGTAAGCGTCCGATTTGAATGATTCAAAGAACTTTCTGCTTATTTCAACAAAATAATTGATTTTGGAAAAAAAATTGTTTCCTATTTTTTTTTTTTCAAAAAATATTTTTGTTTGATGGATTAAAAAAATTGATAAATTACCCAGGCTAAGCACAGTCTAAGCGCCACTCTGGTGCAAATGTTTTCCAATTTTGTGAAAACTATTGAAAAATGTGAAAATGCCGCCAAGCTAAGCACAATATAAATGAAAATATCGCATAAATTATCTGCAAATGCGTTTAGACTGTGACTATACGGAGCACTTTTTCAATTTTGTGCAAATGAGGCAACTATTTTTGTTTTGAAATTGAATTCGAAATGAAATGACGATTGTTAATGTTCTGGAGATAAAATGATTTATTTATTTGCTCAGATATAACAAGATAGCAAAAATAATGAAAGTTACAGTATTTTTAATAATATATTTGAAAACGTTTAAAATTTCTCGAATATTTCATTACGGTACGGGAAGTTCCAGCAATTTGCCTTAAGGCACGATGCCATACACCACTAGTTATTTGATTTATTATAGAGATTGCTAATAATTAATATTATTATAGAGACTGCTAACAATAAATATCTTACAATATAAACCAGAAGATAGTAGCAAAACCGAGCGGCGTGTCTACTTGGTATAATATATAATTCTCGTACGGGAAGTTCCAGCAATCTGCCTTAAGGCACGATGACATACACCACTAGTTTTAATTTTGGAGAAAACAAATTTAGCAAATTCTGACTTAATCATATATCAAAAATTTCGAAACGTTTTATGAATTTTATGAAACCAATCGGGGCGCTATCAATATTTGGCAATCGTAAACATCCGCATGTAAATATGTGATTGTCGATATGATTATATACTTTACTATCATCATCTATGCTAATGTTTAGCGCCTGTCTGGAATTCGATATTCCTGTCTTTAAATTCTAATCTAGAATTCAAACAATGTCCACTTCCGACCACTTGAGAATAATGATCTTGCGGTAAAAACAACTATCGTCCTTATACTCTGATGCCAGGTAGGTACATGGTACGGAAGCGGCGGGGATTCTCAAAATTTTTTTGAATAAGAATAGTTCGATAAAAATATAAAATCGGTGAATAGAATGTAAAATATAAAACTAGTGGTGTGTATGGCATCGTGTCTTAAGGCAAATTGCTGGAACTTCACGCAGCGTAACGAAATGTTCGAGGAATATTAAATGTTCTCAAATAAATTATAAATATTGTAACATTGTCTAATATTTATAAGAATTATGTAAATTGAATTGCAAAGTTAAAATTATTTGTTTAAAGTATATTAGAACTATAGGAAGAATTACAATTAAAATCTGAATTATTTTCGATATATCCAAAAAAAATTTTGAAAAAAAATTTAAACAATTTTTTACCAAAAGCAATTATTTCGTTCAAACTAGCAGAAAGTTCTTTGAATCATTCAAATCGGACGCTTAGTTCTCTCAAAAACTGCCATTTTTTGCACATTTAGCTCTGTATCTTCGAGATGGCTGGACCTGCCTTTGCCAAAAACTAATCACCACTTCTCCCCGTCATTACGAATTGAATGTTTTTTGGATCATTCCAATCGGATGCTCCGATCTCTCAAAAATTCGATTTCTATTTTCTGCACTCTGCTCCGGATCTCCGAAACGGCTGGACCTGCCTTTGCCAAAAACTAATCAGCACATCTCCCTATTAATAGAGATCAAATGTTTTCTGAACTATTCAAATCGGTTGATCCGTGCGCCCGAAAACGTGGACGAAAAATTGTATCCATACATACATACATACATACATATATACACACACACACACATCCATTTTTTCTGAGTGAAGTGAAGTGCCAAAATGTTCAGAAACCTTCAAAACGTGAAGAAATGTGAGAATTTTCAATTTCGATTTTTGGACGATCACAATAACTTACCCTACGGAAAGTTAATTAATGGTATGATTTTTTACACAACTAGAAAAGTTTTATAGACTGCTCAATTACTTTTTTTCGCTAATTCAAAAAAAAAAAAATTGAACTCTAATGAAATTTATTCCAATGGCTTAAATTTATGAAATTCAAATTTAGACACATTACATCACAAAAACGACTTTTGGCACAAATATATTTTTTCAAACTTTGATGAATTTTTAAAATTTAACGACTTGTAGAAGTGTAATATTTCAGTATGTTCTATAAGACCATGTATGATGTCTATCATTAAAATATGTTCCATGAAAATTGTCAAAAAAAATTTCCAACTGTTAATTACAAAAATATATATATATATATATGTATTCCCAGCCGATTTTCACCAAAAACTTATCAGCACAATTTTCAACCAACATCTTTCGAAAGGATTTTGAATTTTAAAAATCGATTCAGAATTTTTGGCTAAAACGTGAACAAAAACTTTTCACTTTTTTGCGAATTACAAAGAAACGGCTTGGCCGATCATGGCACAAAATTGAGAAAAGATAGTCCTTTCAAGTTACATTTGAATGTTCCTTGAATTTATAAAATCGATTCAGCAGATTTTGTGAAAACTGCCGATGAAAGATTTAATCTTAACAAAAGTAAAATAAAAACACTAGCCACAAAACTGCCGATGAAAGATTTAATCTTAACAAAAAAAATTTTAATTAACTAAAAAAAAACTAGTAATTTTTTTTAAATTAAACGACTTATCGTAAGACCGTAATATTTTAGTGTGTTCTATATATTGTAGTGTGACCATGATATAAATCGCCAAAATAAATTAAATAATAAGAAATCGGCTGATTTTTATTGAAAATAAATTGTAAATAAAGTTTTTGAAGTTTTAAAATCTACTCAGAATTATTGGTTAAGTTATTACTTTTCTGCTATCAACAAAGAAACGACTTGGCTGATCCCCATGCAAAATTTACATACACTAATCCTTATCAAGTTAAATAGCTTTTAAATTTTTGAAATCACTCCAAATGTTCTTGAGAAAACGTCGACAAAAAGTCAAATATCTGTTCACACATACACATACACCTACTTTTTCCAAATTTGGTCTCATTCGATTCGGAATGACTTCAAACGTCCAAAAGAAAACAAAGTTAGCAAATCGGATTTTTTGGCGAAACAAACTTCGGAAATTAATAAAATCAATTGCAATATTAAGCATAAATTTAATATTAGGCTCATTACTAGTAATGAGTAAGAATTAAAATAAATATTTAAACAAACTCATTGTCTGGTGCAAGATATCTCAATAAATAATAAATATGAAGTTTCTTATCAAAATCTTGAGAATAACATTGTATATGCTACAAAATATTTTGATCATAAATAAAATAATGCAACAAAAATTTGATATGTTTTGTAAACAAGTGTTTACTTGTGAAGAAAGACCAAGAAACTTTGGTTGGAGTGCGGACTATCTTAAAGTTAATATTGAAAGCTAAAACTTTCAGAGAATTTTTTATATCTATTCGGAATCGTTTAGAAGCAAAAAAAAATTCGAAAAAATCCATATTAAAGACCACCCTGATATATAAATTACAACAATTGCATTTCCCTTTTAAGTTTAATCCAAAATATTTGTTTTCTCATTTTCTTTACCATTAGTGCAAGTTTCTTATAAAAATATATATATTTTTTTAATATTTGAGAACCGTAATTAATTATCGGTCTTTTGCGAATATGTATTAGTCATAACCACACGTCCATATCAAATTTCAGGTAAAAAGTTGGCAAATACGCAAATGGGTCTACTACTTCCTTTTTATAAGTACATAAAGTTCGAAGCTTTATCATTATTATTATTCATTCATGATATCAAGACCAGACCCAAGATATTTCAAACTGTCCTGTATAAATATATCAAACTGTCCTGTATAAATATATCAAACTGTCCTGTATAAATATATCAAACTGTACAAATGTCCTGTATAAATATTTCAAACAGTCCTGTATAAATATTTCAAACTGTACAAATGTCCTGTATAAATATTTCGAACTGTCCTGTATAAATATTTCAAAGTGTGCAAATGTCCTGTATAAATATTTCAAAGTGTGCAAATGTCCTGTATAAATATTTCAAAGTGTGCAAATGTCCTGTATAAATATTTCAAACTGTCCTGTATAAATATTTCAAACTGTACAAATGTCCTGTATAAATATTTCGAACTGTCCTGTATAAATATTTCAAAGTGTGCAAATGTCCTGTATAAATATTTCAAAGTGTGCAAATGTCCTGTATAAATATTTCAAAGTATGCAAATGTCCTGTATAAATATTTCAAACTGTCCTGTATAAATATATCAAACTGTCCTGTATAAATATATCAAACTGTCCTGTATAAATATATCAAACTGTACAAATGTCCTGTATAAATATTTCAAACAGTCCTGTATAAATATTTCAAACTGTACAAATGTCCTGTATAAATATTTCGAACTGTCCTGTATAAATATTTCAAAGTGTGCAAATGTCCTGTATAAATATTTCAAAGTGTGCAAATGTCCTGTATAAATATTTCAAAGTGTGCAAATGTCCTGTATAAATATTTCAAACTGTCCTGTATAAATATTTCAAACTGTACAAATGTCCTGTATAAATATTTCGAACTGTCCTGTATAAATATTTCAAAGTGTGCAAATGTCCTGTATAAATATTTCAAAGTGTGCAAATGTCCTGTATAAATATTTCAAAGTATGCAAATGTCCTGTATAAATATTTCAAACTGTCCTGTATAAATATATCAAACTGTCCTGTATAAATATATCAAACTGTCCTGTATAAATATATCAAACTGTCCTGTATAAATATATCAAACTGTCCTGTATAAATATATCAAACTGTCCTGTATAAATATATCAAACTGTCCTGTATAAATATTTCAAACTGTCCTGTATAAATATTTCAAACTGTCCTGTATAAATATTTCAAACTGTACAAATGTCCTGTATAAATATTTCGAACTGTCCTGTATAAATATTTCAAAGTGTGCAAATGTCCTGTATAAATATATCAAAGTGTGCAAATGTCCTGTATAAATATTTCAAAGTGTGCAAATGTCCTGTATAAATATTTCAAACTGTCCTGTATAAATATTTCAAACTGTCCTGTATAAATATATCAAACTGTCCTGTATAAATATATCAAACTGTCCTGTATAAATATATCAAACTGTCCTGTATAAATATATCAAACTGTCCTGTATAAATATTTCAAAGTGTACAAATGTCCTGAACAATTTTAATTAATTTAATTTCAAACAGTGCCGAGAAAATATTTCAAACAGTGCCGAGAAAATATTTCAAACAGGGTCGAGAAAATATTTCAAACAGTGTCGTATAAATACTGTAAGTAAAGTTGTAGGATTATAAGCAGTGTCAAATAATGTAAATTATGTTATTTAAATATTTAAAATTGTGTCGTAGAGATATTGCAGCGTGTGTAAGTATAACTGGGTAAACCGTGAGATAAATATTGTAAACCTTAAATTCTGTGTAAAATTGTATGAAAATGTAAATAATTGTCATGCAAAATTGATCAACATACCTACAGGTAAAACCCCACTTACACTCAGTAGAAGCTATGTTGTGTGCAATTTCATCCAATGAACAATAATTCGTCAAGGGCTCCAACTGATTTCAATTGCTAGTTTTTTTTTTATATCTCCTGCTCTGTGCACTTGCTGAGACGAGTAAAGAAAACCGTAGTTCTGATCCTATAAAAAACAAAGATTATTATTTAATTACGATTAACTTCAGCAATATATTATTAAAAACATGGTAAATACATCACTAGTCTAGAAATATCACTATCTATATTTTGAAATGCAATATGCGTCAAATAAATAAACAAATCTAGCTATTCCACGTTATTTTGAGTATAAGAATAAATTAGTTCATCGAGTATTTGCAAAAGCAAAAAATATTTGCTTTAAAATTCTTTAACACAGTCCATCATATACTCCAAATTTTGATAAAATCGTATTAAAAAATCATTAAAAATCTGCTGAAAAAGTCTGTACATGGTGATGTTGCTCAAGTAGAAACTCCAAAACTTATGCTATAATATTAAGTGCAATTAAATAAAAATCTTTGGCAAATATTGAATCTATTTTTAGTTGGCTTTTGGTTAACAATCACAGAAACTTATTTACAATTTTTTTCTTAAGGCCACCTAGTCCAGCTTTATCGGTACCTACCAAAAAAACCTATATAGAATTCAGTCTAATCAAATTATTTAGTTATTAGTTATCAAGCCGAACATAATTATTAAAATAAGAAAAGTTTATGAACGTACTTACAAAATTATATTAAGTTTGGGAGTGCTAAGAATGGAAATGATTTATGAAATAACAGCAGCTTGGCTATGCTCACTTCTTTTTCAATTTAAATAAAACTTTTGGAAAGTTGTATTTAATCATTATATCTTTGTATTTAATTAAAAAAAATCCATAAAACGCTCCGTACAAACAAGAAATTTTGTACAACTCAAACTTCAAAGTTTGAAATTTGAACTTCTGACTAAACCTTAACAAACCCTACTGTTCAATTATTCATAAACAATTTAATAATAAGCAATAAAATAAACTTTAATAAAAGTAAGTAAGAGATTAGAGAAACAATACAAAATGCTTGCTTTTAAAATTTCTGTTTCACAAAGTTAGTAAACTAAATAGTTCTATATAATATTTATAAGTTGAAGACAAAATACAGCCGGGGCACAAGTCAGGCGATGGAATGACTTGAGCAACCTGACATTAATCGAGCACATGGTTAGTAAACTACAAAAAGCAGCCCCATGACAAAATATTTGAGTTGATTATTATATAAGGTAGTGATTCCGGTCTAATGAAGTCTCCACGGACCTCATTGTCAATTCTTCTCATATATAAATTGGATTAGAGTGAACAATGATTTTGTAATAAAAGATTATCAGTCGAAACATAAATTGAGGATATAGCTATTAATACGAATAGAAAACACGTAATTTAAACTTGATAATTATGCAATAAATCCGAAACAAGCATTGCACGTCTACTTAAACGTCACTTTTGTCACGCAACAAAACAAGAAATTGTGCCGTGAATCCGAATGCGAAATATATTTTGCACAAGTACAACTTACCAAAATAATCATGTCCTCTCCTGGAAATAGCGTCTGCTCGTGGATGTGCTCCAAAGTAATGTTTGCGCCCGGCAAGTCTAGAAAGAATGTGAATTAATTTTTTGGCATGACATTTTGCAAAGGCATAGATATAATTGTAGATGTGCGACTACATGGTGCGCAGGTGGCGCTAAAGGAACTCAAGCGGCTTCTTTGGTAGTTACAAAACTGTCAATAATTTATGTTATGTTATATCTATGGTGTTTATATGAATATTTGATCAACGACTATAATTTTCAAACAAGACAAAAATCAAAATAACGTTATTTAAAATTCACGCATATTTTAATCATAAGTTTAACGCATATTATCTTTACGTTGCCATTTAACATAAATCATGTAATTAAGAATAAGTACTAAATTTATAATTACATTTTGCCCATAATTCTAATTTATTTAGTTTATAAATAAAAATATATTAATATTTAAAAATATATTAATATTTTTTCTTAATAATGTAATTAATTAAGTAAGTTTTAACAATTTTTACTGTAAACTGGCAAGAATTTTGATATTGTCTCAATTAAGAGAGCATACTCAAAGGCCAGGCAGTTTATAAAAAGCAAGGGTTTAGTTATAGTTTCAATTAAACCTCCTAAATTAAAACGATAGATAGGTTTGAGCTGCAATTGGTATAAATTAAAAGTAGTTCAGGGTTTTTTTGGTTACTTACGTTTAAAAAAACACTTATACAGAAACTATTCAAAGATTTCGTCAAATGTAACTTTATTAATGATTGAATAGATAGTACTATTAAATTAACTATTAATTACATTTTATTTATTAGATAGCACTATTAAATGGAGAGATAATAAAGAAGAATGTCTCGTAAATGCATTTTAATCCTAGGAATTTAGTTTTATCTCAATTTGGATATCAATATATATATTTTTCGTTTTTAGAATTATTTTGCCTGGAAAGTATTCGTTTTTTTTTAAAAAAAATTGCTGTTCTTTTTATCCTTTTGATTTATTCAGATTAAATATAATGGATAATTTTATTGAATATAGATACAACACATGTAATTGTTGAATAATTCTTAACCTAAACATATAACAATAACGTGCCCTTTGAATATTGAAAAGAAAGTTCTTCACGTCGATAAAAGAAGAAGAGAATCTCTAAAGTCGATAAAGTTTAAATTATTATACGTATATACAAAATACAATAACAAATTAATTTCCTAAAATCATATTATATGAAGACTTCCAAATATACAAATCCATCACAATAAAAAACATTTACCGCATAAAAGGAAAACACACACAATATTTTTGATGAGCGGCGGCGGCTCCTGCGGCTCCTTTGATTTTAAGTATTCGGTATTTGGTCAAATAGTAAGTTACTATTCGGTATTCGGCCGAACATTGAAAAAGGAGCCGAATATCGAAAAGTAACCAAATATTCGATGTATTTATTAAACCGTTTCCCTCTCCCGAATTTTACGTTCAGAAGGGATAGTTAAAGGATCCTACACTCAGACACGAGGACGCTGTTATCGGGATTCAAGTTAATGGCGCAAAATTTAAAATGAAAATTAATAAATTTTAATATTTCGATATTTGAAACTAAAGTTGGCATTACAATCGTATTATGTTTTGTAATAATACAATAACAACAAACATATACTAAACAACAATATATTTATTCAAGTGTCGATAAAGTTTAAATTAATATATATATGTACAAAATACAATAACAAATTTATTTATCATATCATATTATGTAAACTAAAGACTTCCAAATATAAGCAAGCCTACTTATTATTTATGCTGTCAAAGATTGTAACTTATTGTATACTCTTCTTTTATCTATGATTGTAACCATAGATAAATAAGCATAACGATTGTAACCAAACTGCCATTTTGAAAATGTTCAACATAACCTCAAAGTATTTGTCAAAATCAAGAAAAATAAACTATTAATTATAAACGTTATTGGATTAATAAACAAAAGTAAGAAAATAACGCTCAAAACATGTTAAAAAAATCCACATAATAAATTAATCATATATTTTTTGTGTTGCAGATGTAAAATATATTTACTTAATTAATCCAAGATTCTTTTCGAGCCACTCAGAACTTTTTCCTTTAATTTACAATAATGATTTAAAGCATATAACATTGGTTATTTGAGAAATTTATTCATCACCTATAAAACATATAGAATTTTATAATTTTTACTTTCAAATTAACATTTATTATACATTATGAAATTCTGATAACTTTAAATTATATAATTCAACCGTTAAAATTTCATTTTGTTATTCAAACTCATCAATTGCACTTTAATTGTAAATTGCTACATATTTACTATTCAATATGGAACAGAGCATCGATGAAATATTACACAAAAGTATGGATCTTCTACAAACAAATCTGAAAACCATACTTTCTAACATAACAGGTTAGTTCTAATGTAATCACATTAATAATAAACAAGTTTTTACCTAATTTCACATACAGGTGATCACACAACAATTAAAAATGAGTTTTCCGCATTGTGTGCAGAGTATTGCAAGCAAGATTCGTTGTTACAAGCTCAGAAAGAAGCCTTCAACAGAGCAGCCTCGTGTACTGATATAGAAAGTATAAAAGAGGTATTTTTGCATTACATAGAAACTGTAAGATCCACTACCAGAATTTTAGGTTTACATTACACGTCTCACTAGCAATATTTTAGGTTTACGATACGTCATATAATGAAGCCTTGAGTAAAGTTTCAACACCTGAAAAACATGTTAAGTACATTCAATTCCAAGAAGTATTGAAGACGTCTGCAAGTAGAAGCTTGGGTAAGAAAATATATGAATGTTACTACTTATATTTTTCATATTATATAATAAAGCTAATATTAATTTTTAAAAAATTATGTAAGCATCCAGTGTGCAATTTTTTACTTACATTGATAACTGGTCTTAGTAACTTATTTGTATGATCCCCAATTTTTGATACGTGAGTACTGCTTCTATCTTAAATTACTGGTGTACGTATGGTATATTCATAAAACTGGAGAGGTACCAAGGTGCATCTGTTAGATTCCCTAAAATCTTTAAACTTGCTTGCGCAGTCTTAGCCATAAGTCCAAACAGATTTATATATCAAAACCTTGTTTCCTAATGAAAGTTTTGAGTCCTTTCCTACAAAAACAATGTAATTCTTGCATTTTCAGTTTTATATGTTGAATTTTTGACTTCATCAGTGATTGCCACATTACTTTACTTCTTTTTGTGGTCTTTTTGTTCATTATTCAAATACCCAGATGGGCACAGTCAATATTTCTTAGATAGAATGTAATATAATATGCTGCAATTTGTCAAGATTCAATTAGTATTTTCCAGATTTTGAACAATTCTTCAAATAAATTAAGGTGTATAATGTAATTTAATTGATACATAAGACCCTAAAATAAAATCCAGTAATATCTTGGCATAGAAATACATATAAATAAAATTGTTGTGTCTGTAATACAAACGCTATTTTTTTTTTCAAATTCATTGGACATATATATTAAATTAATGTTTTTTTTTTAAATTTTTGCTTGCTTGGGCTAATGTACAAAAAGGCTGGACTGATTTTGATGAAACTAGCTGATATAATTTGTTCTTATTTCTTAAATAGCTTGTCTTAGTTTAATTCAACAAATTTTAATAATCTTATAATACTTTAATTTAAACTTTTTTGTTACATTTTTAGTGTTTTCTCATCTTCAGTCATAATTATAACAACTTTACATTGAAGTTAATTGTAATGTTAAAAGTAAATGAAAACATTTAATATTCCTCAAATATTTCATTATAGTACGGGACGTTCCAGCAATTTGCCTTGAGGCACGAAGAACCACACACCACTAGTTTATTTAAAATAAAAAAATAGGACTTATTTCATCTAGCTGTATCGAAACTTTCTTTGTGTGAAATTTAACAGAAAAATTAGTTTATTTAGCTTGGCGTATTGTTGCAATTTACCTTATCTTAGTTTAATTCAAAATATTTTAATAATCTTATAACATTTTAATTCAAACTATTTTGTTTACATTTTTAGCGTTTTCTCTCCTTCAGTCAATAATTAAAACAACTTTATATTGAAGTCAATCAATTATTTATAGATTGTTTCATTTATTTAGTAACATTGATAGACGTATTTTTCCCAAAATAAATATAAGTGAATTTTTCATTTTTTAAATGAGCACATGAGTCATTGTTATGATTAAAATTAAGTCAAATCTCTCTAAAAACATAAGAATAAATAAATCGTACAACAAATATTGTATATAAATTTTTTTTCTGTGAGCTGAAGAAGCAACGAAGAACTGAAAATAGATAACAAATTAAACTAGTCTATCAATTTTGTAAATAAGACGCTAAAGGCTTGATTAACAAAAATAAACTATAACAAGAAAATAAATAAATGAAACTTGTGGTGCATGGCATCGTGCTTTAAGGCAAACTGCTGGAACTTCCTGCACCGAAAATTAAAATTTTTAAAAGATTCTTTTTTCTTTTAGACTTCTTAAAGAAAAGGAAGTTAAAAAAAAACAAAGTTCTTTTTTGCTAAATTCCAGCTAGTTAAAAACAAATTCACTTGATACAAAACTAAAAACAATATAAAGGAATATATACAGATAAAAACATTACCATTTTTTTGGTCAAAAAGACTTAATAGGTAGTTTGCTTTTTTTTACCTTAACATGATTTTGAACTCTCCGAAATTTGAATCTTTTTAATCAAATAAGTCCATAATTTCCAGAATTAGTGGTCAAATTTACAATTAAAAGTTTTATTTGCTCTTCTTCGAAATCACTACTATAAATATTGTTGTTTTTTCTTCATTGTCAGAAAGTCTAGTCTTTTGTTCTATTTCTTCGACAAGTTTCACATTTATATCATCTAAGCTGGTTTCCAAATTAATTATTTCTTCCATCTTCAGAGAGTTTCCAGACTAAAATAAAAAAGCGCTAAACGAAGCGTTAATTAATGTCCTGTATAAATTAATATCATATAACAATGTTATCTATTTACTGTTCCAGATTTCACTCAAGAAAGTACAGCACTTGATCCCTTCACTAAGAAACTAATTGCAAATCCAGTGAAAAATAAAAATTGTGGCCATATATATGACAGGGATAGTGTAATGGAGATATTAAATATTCATTCAGAACTGAGGTCAATAGATAAATTGTAGTAAATCAAGTATAACAATTACAATAATAATACTGTATTACATTTTTATTTTAATATTGCAGATGTCCTGTTGTCGGGTGCAGGGTCAAGACAAAATTCAATGTTAGAAATTTAATGGAAAGTTCAGTTTCTCAAGAGGAAGAAGTTATGGAGCTTTGAATTTTATATTTACCGTATTTTTATATTAATTATTTTTAAACTAATTATTTTATATTAATATTTTATATTTTTTGTATAAATAAAGTTTGTTTAATAAAATCCGTTTTGCTAATTTTAAAAATTTAAGTTTTCATCGACGTTGACAAAAACGGCTGTACCGTTTCCAAAAATGTATATACCATACAATACAACTCAATAATAACTCGCGTTAATTTATTTTGCAAGACGATCTACCGAGCCGTTTTTTCTTTTGGTAATTAGCAGTAAAATGCTGAATTTTTCGCTCATGTTTTTGCAAAAAAAAAAAAAAATTGAACCAAATTTGGAAATATACAATCCCTATGAAATAATTAGTTTTAAGTAAAAATTGAGCACTTTTTTTTTATTCATAATAGTGACTTTACACATTGTAGTACGTGGTTTTAATGAACACCTTAAAGTATTGAAGGCCTTCAAAAAGTGTTTTAATTATAATAATTCATTTCGTTTCTAAAATCCTAAAGCAAATTCGTAAATGTATACCTACAAAACACTCAAAAAATGATATATTGATCTCTTATTGTTGGAATCGTTGATTTATATATCAGAAAGTTTATGTAACTTTTTTAAGGTAAAATGACACCTCCTAGTTTGTATGTAATTGTATTCATTTCAAATAAAGTTAAAAGAATCTACTACAAAGGTCTTATTAACTTCTGTAGGGTAAGTTATTGCAATCGTCCAAAAATCGATTTTTTTTTTGCATTTCTTCACGTTTCAGAGGTTTCTGAACATTTTGACATACCTCAAAAAAGTGTGTGTGTACGTGTGGAGACAATTTTGCGTCCACGTTTTCGAGCGCACGGATCAACCGACTTAAATTGTTCAAAAAACATTCGATTCCTATTGATGGGGAGATGTGCTGATTAGTTTTTGGCAAAGGCAGGTCCAGCCATTTGGGAGATACGGAGCAAACAATGCAGAAAATAGAAATTGAGTTTTTGAGAGAATGCAGCATCCGATTTGAATGATTCAATAATACATTCAATTTGCAATGACGGGGAGAAGTGATGATTAGTTTTTGGCAAAGGCAGGTCCAGCCGTTTCGGACATACCGAGCAAATTGTGCAAAAAATAGCAATTTTGGAGAGAACTAAGCACCGATTTTAATGATTGAAAAAGTTTCTACTTGTGTTGATGAAACAATTGCTTTTGGGAATAATTTTTTTTTAACTTACTAAAGTTTTTTTGAATATCTGAAATATTTCAAATTTTAATTTTAATTCTAGCTAAATCTCACTTATATACATCAAATAAATAATTTTAGCTTTAGAGCATTTAAAATAATCTATTTGAAAACATTGAATATTTCTCAAATCTTTCATTACGGTACGGGAAGTTCCAGCAATTTGCCTTAAGGCACGATGCCATGCACCACTAGTTTATTTTATTTTTTACATTTATATATGTCCCAAGAGCAATAAATACAATTACATATGAATAGTCTGTTTAAAAGATATCATTTTTAAATTGCACTTTCATTTAGTGAAAGCACAACCATTATTTTTAATTTAAAATATTATTGATTATTGAAATATTTACACATTCAGGGATGTTCATGCAACTTGCCATTAGGAAAATTGCTTCTTGAACCTTCTTGTTATGTAAAAATTATCAACAAGAATTCAAATTTAGATACGTATTTATATAAAATTTAAAATTGAGAAAACAATTTTTGTTTTCACTAAAAACTAATCAATGTGATTTCCAATTTATAGCTTTCAAACAGACTTATATATAATTATATTAATTATTCTGCACAAACACTCAATTATATGTTCTAAAAGTACAGCCTATTATTCCAAACTTTAAATGAATTTTTATAATTCAACCACTTCACAAGATCACGAACAACAAAGTTTCATCAAAATAAACTTTTTTTAAAAAATTACCAAAGAAATGGCTCCGCCGATCCTTCACTCACTAATAAAAACAATTTATTTCAAAAGGCTTAAAGGAGAGAGCCTGCTTTAAAGACTTCAAAAAATCGCTTTTTTGAGGAATTTTTAGAGAAAGAAATAAATCTTTAATTCAAACGAAACTTTCAGGTTTAATTGTCATATATTTTAACATTCTTCTCAATTTTTTTCTTTAAAATGTATGTCACATAATGCCGGGTACAAGGATTTTCCTGATGCGTCACGAGCGTGCAGGGAAAGATGCAGGTCACAATTTTCATCCAAAACAAAATCAAAACAAAAACCTAAAAAATCCAGAAAAAAATGAGATTCAACAATTTTCCGCAACTTAGAAAAAATCATGTTTTTTGATACAAAATTTCACTTTAGATTGTTAAAAAGTGAGTTAATTATAACTTTTTTTTAGGTTCAACTGGAATAGAATTTAATCCTGAATACAATGAATTTTGTCTCGTTTTGATAGGACGTTTAGTTTTTTTCTTATCTTTCCCGCCAATTAGGTAAAATCGTAAAAATAAAAAACCGAGAAACCAAAGTTTTCGTTCCGCTCGTATGCATTCTCGACGCTTGGCTCACTATTTCTTCATTAATTCCGAAAATGATTTGTTTCTGAAATTTTAGGAATATATTCCTGGCTAGTTTTGGAAGACATTTTTGCAAAAAAATCGATATTTTAAGCCTCTAATGCAAGCTCCCCCTTTAAGTTTACATGATATCTTTCAGAAGGCTTCAAGTTCTTCATCCTAAATTTAAAATTAGTTGCTCAAAAATATTTGTATAGAAAGTCTACTTAATATTCAATTAAAATAAAATGAGTAAATATTTAAAATCTATATTTAAATACAAGAAACAATATTTCACATTTACAATTATCTGTTATAACAATAAAACATTTCTTCCAAAATTTCAGAATACATCGTTTACTAATAACCTGGAATGATAAAATGATCTCATTTACACAATCCGAGTTAATATTTATCTTAACACCAAAAACTAAATTATATTAAATATCTGTCACATACAAAATTGTGTTCACGATTTTTCAAATAAACTATTTTAGAACAACTAATGTAATTGTTCACATCATTACTAATCAACAAAATTAAAACATGATCTAAAAAAAATAGTTGTGTAAAAAAATTGTAACATATAATATTGTTCGATTGCAGGAAATTATTTTAACACAATTAATAACCTTACACATTGTAAAAAAATAGAATCAATACGCATCATATTCTATGAAAATAAAACCGTTTGGATCTGCAGCATACCTGCATCAAAACTTTGTACATTTTTAATCTATATTATTTTTAATTTTGATTATTATCACTATATACATAAAGGTAAGTAAATAAACATCAATCAAGTACTGCAATTGTTCACCAGGATATATATATATATATATATATATATATAAAAGTGTTTTCAAATAAGATCACATACTAGTTTAATGATTATTAAAATGTGATTCAAAATATGGGAAGAGTACTTCTCAAAGAATACTAGTACCATTATTCTTTAATTAAATTAAGTAAATAAAATACTTATTTCTTTTTTTTCTTATCAATCATACCGGTTGCCGCCTTCTGACTATTCCCAGATCCAGCAGTCGCTGCATTTTGCTGTTGTCCATAATTAGCAAACGCTTGAGCATACTGAGCCCAACTCTGGTAGACTTGAGCCATTTGTTCTGTTGTTTGGTTCGCCGTGTTGCCATCTGTACTGTATTGGGCCGGATACTGACTGGAACTGCTACTGGTGGTGGTGTTTGTTCCTGCAGCACCTGTGTATTGTACATTAGGATAAGAAGTGCTGTACTGAGATGAATTTGCCGATGTGGTACTGCTGCTTCCAGTTGTTGAGGGATTCTGATTAGCACCACCTCCACTGTTATCAGCGGCACCACTAGCATTTGTACCTGCTGAATTGCCCTCTGCTTGTTGTTGTCCCTATAATAAAGATGAGTTTAATCAGTCTAAAATATTCCACAAAGAACTTGCGCGGGTGATATAATTATGATCACTACTGACCTGCTGATTCCATTGGTTCCAATATTGACCCCAATTTTGAGCACCATAACCTTTCCAGCCATTTCCCCAGTTTTGTTGATTCCAGTTTTGTTGCCAGTTCTAAGAAAAAAATTATTTAGAAATTTATATTTTATGTTTATTTTTGTGTTCCATTTTGTTCAGCAATTGTATATGAATAAATAATTTTTATTTTCTAGAAGTGTTAATATATTGTGGATTTATTTTTATTTAAGCTATAATCAAGAATAATAAATATCATTTCAGGCTTTTAGCTATATTATATAAGGCTACACATTATAGCTCTTACTACAAAAATCACAAAAAACTGGTAACTTTAAAGAAACATCTAAAAATTGACAAATCATATCTAGTCAACAAAAATGACCTGATTTAGTATGTCTAATTTCATTCTTTTATTACCTGATTCCAATGTTGTCCTGACCAATCTTGTGCGACTTGATCAGCACTCCAATTTTGAGCTCCGCCCCATTGCTGTTGGTTCCATTGTTGCTGCTCGTTATTCCATGCAGCATTATTGCCAGCCCAATGGCCTTGTCCACCCTGCGGATGTCCTCTGCCAGAATGCTAGAAATAAATCAACAAATGAAAGTCAAAAAAAAAAACTAGTTGAAAGTGGCCTTAGCCTTAAGGCAAGTTGCATAAACTTCCGAAATTGACTTCATCAATCGAAATTGAAATTTAGTTGTTTAGTTAAAATTTTCAATTGTTTATTTTAAAAAATAAAGTTATCACTTTCAATAAAATCCAAATATTGTGATTTCGAATAGAATTTTCTCAAACACATTTTAATTATCTGTAATTGTATTAATTACATTCCCCAGATGAATTGATAATGTTTGACTCATCACATCATAAAAGCAACTTTTGACACAAATTTTGACTATAATATTTCCTCCTTTGGTGAATTTTTAACAATAATCTATTTGTCGTAAGGCTGTATCATTTTAGTATGTTTTATAAGACCATGATATCAATTGCCAACAAAAAGTTCATAAAAATGGGCTATTTTTTTTTAAAATAGTTAATTTCAAGAAAACGGTCCAGTAGATTTTAACCTAAAACTAATCAGTATCATTCTCAACCAATATCTTTTCATATCCCTACGACTTGTCGTAGGGCCGTAATATTTTTGTATGATCTATAAGACTATAGTATCTATTGTCAAAAAAAATCATAAAAATCATAGAATTTTTTTATTTTAACACTACTTTATTACAAGAAAACGGCTCGGCGGATCTTTACCAAAAACTAATCAGCACGATTCCCAACCAATATCTTTCAAACAGTTTTTGAATTTTCAAAATCCATTCAGAATTGCAGGCTACAGCGTGAACTAAACTAAAAAAATTTCACACTTCGACTATTTACAAAGAAACGGCTTGGCTGATCGTCGCGCAAAGTTGATAAACACTAGTCCTCATCGAGATAGATCGTATGGCTTTTGAATTTTTGAAATCGGTCCAGCCATTTTTGAGAAAACGTCGATTTACGGCAAAAAATCTGTCCAAATACACACACACATACCTTTTCCAAATTTGGTCTCATTCGATTCAGAATGGCTCGAAACGTCGAGAAAACGTAGAATTAGCGGATCGATTTTTTGATGAAAACATTAACTTCGGAAGTTACAAACAAAAGTTGGTGGCAAAAAGAAAGCAAACATAATATTTGACATATTAATTAATTAATAAGCATAATATATTTGCAAATAAGCTGCAACAACCTCATAGAAATAATTTTACTTTGCACTCATAATTTGAAATTTAATGTTCTGTTCTTGTTTAAGTAATACTAAAAGCATAACTACAAAAGTGAATGCAAATACAATATAATCTGAAATTAATAACAAAAATAATACAAAATGCTTTGTACCTGTCCCCTTCGATCGCCGCCAGCACCACCGCGACCTGGTGCAGAGCCTCTTGGATTCCACCTTCCTCCATCTCTCATATGTTGTGGCGCACCTGCACCTCCGCGGCTTGGTCCACCGCCTCGTCCGCCACGGTGATCACCGCCACCTCGACCGCCGCGGTGTACATGATCTGGTGGTCCACCACGCGGACCGCCCCGGTGACCATGGTCTCCACTTCCACCACGACCGCCATGCGGAGGGCCGCGCTCGCCGCCGCCGCTTCGCCATCCACCAGCTTGGTGAGGCCTAAAAAAAAAAAATTAGCAAATTGTATCAACTTAGATAAAACTTTCAATTGTATATTTTGAAAATATTTTTTCTTTTACTAAAAATAAATCAATGCAATCTCCTATTTTTATGTTTCAAATAGACTTGTAATATACGTAACTGCATTAAATATAGTACACAAAAGCGCACTAAAATGACCTAAAAATGTGACTAGATTTAAATAAAACTGAATTTTTCGTATTTCAACCACTCTTTTGTAACCCTATAATATTTTAAGATGTTCATTTATACCCATAATACCCAAAGGAAACAGTGACAAGTTTTAAGGTGTCCACAAAATAAATATAGGGACATGGTAGTCACAACAATGTTAAAATATATTTACTTATATTAAACTATATATAGAAGTTATAAGATTTATAAATAAATTTAAAATGTAGAAAAAAAATTGTACATTTTAATAAAAAAAATATTTTATTATTATTATTATTTGCTTTTATTTTATATTAAATCATCATATTACGGGTATCATTTTAATGTAAATCTATCCTTTGTACTCTTTCTTATTTAAATTAATGTTATTGTTCATTATTATTAATAGATGTTAAATGATTTAACAGTTGTAATAAATATTGTTATTAAAAAAAAAATTAATAAAAATGTGTCATATGCAGGCATTTATTTGATTTGTGGTCACAATATTTTTGGACTTGTAAAGACTATACATGCAGACTGTTGAAAGACTTATGCGGCTGGTCATATTATTTGTGTTTTAGACTTGATTCTAAAGATAAGTTTAATTGTAGCCAATTATTAAATATTTCCTTATCTCTTATTTAAATTTGTCATTTTAAACTGAGCTAGTGTATGGCATCGTGCCTTAAGGCAAATTGCTGGAACTTCCCGCACCGTAATGAAATATTCGAGGAATATTCAATGTTTTCAAATAGATTATTGTGAATGCTGTAACATATCTATTTACAGATAAAGTGAATAAACAAAATTTAATCAATCAAATTTAAAATTAAGGACATTGTCTAATATTTATAAGAATTATATAAACTGAATTGCAAAGTTCAAATTAATTAATTGAAGTACATAAGTGAGCTTTAAAACTTTAGCTAAAATTAAAATTAAGATTCGAATTTTCGAATCATTCAAATCGAACGCATATTTCTCTCAAAAACTGCCATTTTTTGCACATTTAGCTCGATATCTCCGAAACGGCTCGACCTGCCTTTGCCAAAAACTAATCTCGACTTCTCCCCGTCATTACAAATTGAATGTTTTTTAGATCATTCAAATCCGATGCTCTGTTCTCTCAAAAAATCGATTTATATTATCTGCACTCTTTGCTCCGTATCTCCGAAACGGCTGGACCTGCCTTTGCCAAAAACTGATCAGGACATCTCCCTATCAGTAGGAATTGAATGTTTCTAAACCATTCAAATCGGTTGATCAGTGCGCCCGAAAACGTGGACGAAAAAATGCGGACATACAAAACACACACACGCACACACACACACACACTTCCATTTTTTCTGAGGTATGCCAAAATGTTCAGAAACCTTCAAAACGTCGAGAAATGCAAAAATTTTCATTTTCGATTTTTGGCGCATTACTATAACTACCCTACGGGAAGTTATAAATGCAATAATGGATAAATATGTGGTTTTCCAAAAAGTTTGTAAAATTATGGAATGGACATATGAAAATAGTTTCCTACCTCTACCATCAACCTCTCCTTTGGGAAGTTTGTCAATAATTCTTGCAATAAGTATAAATAGAAATTTATCATACCTGTCTCTTCCACCTCCACCGCCTCCTCTCCACTGATCTCTATGTCCTCCTCTTCCAGCCCAATGAGGCGGAGGTGGAGGTCCACCGAATCTAGGTGGACCACCGCCCCACCTATGTGGGGGTCCGCCGCCCCCGCGATCCATCCTGTCATTGTGTTTTCTATGATCATTACCGCCTCGTCTATTGAACCCTTGGCTTCTATCAGAACTCCTCCTCCTATCGGAACGGTCGTTGTAGCGCCTATCACTACTTTGACGATTGCCCTGGCTGGAGTTGCTGTGTCTGTCAGCAGAACGATCTGAACTGTTATCGAAACGGGATCGCTTAGCGGGCCTCATGGCATAGCCGGCATCTTTGCCTTCTTTGTTATACTTCTCAATAAGATCACTCGAGTCCTGTTCAGAGAGCTCAGCAAAAATAACTTGATCGAAGTAGTCGCTTACTTCGGGCAGAACAAAGTTGGCTGGATAAAAATAATATTTAATTAATAATTAACACAATTACTGTTTGTTATAAAACATATGACATTTCACATTCAATTAGAACCACATTGAAAGGTTAAAATAAACTATGTTCGCATTCCTTTTAAATTATTATTAATTCAATATTAATCATGTTTCCAGCTGATTATATTGTAAGGAGAGAAAACAAGAATGCAGTGTTGGTTTATAATATCAAAGTTATATTTTTTGTAAATATAATATTCAATATAAAACATGTTTCCATATTAATTATCAATATATATCAATATTAAATTAGTGCACGGCTTCTGTGGGTCGCATAGAAAATTAGTGAGCCGCGAAGAATTTTAATGTAAAGTAAATCATTTAATAACATCACGTCTAAATTTTTGTATGTTTTACTACAAATTCTAAAACTATATTTTCATATGAATATATGTATATTGTTACCTAATAAATAAATCATCTAAAAATATTAATTTCTCTTTCTTTTATATTTGTGTGAGGTCGTCAAAAAACTCGCAATTATAAATGGGGTTGCAAATGACATAAGTTTAAGAAGCCTTGAATTAGTGTTTAAAAGTTCAAAGAAAAATAAAATTGATTCAATTGTTATAATTATTACAAATAAAATATGAAATACTAAACATGTCTCCATTTGATAAAGAAAAATCTATACATAACTAGTTGTACGTAGTATTGAGCTTCAAGGCAAACATGAACTTCCTGATTTCATATCATCAAACTAGTGGTGTATCACATCGTGCCTTAAGGCAAATTTCTGGAACTTCCCGTACTAAAAATTAAATTTCTTAAAAAAGATTAAATTCTTTAAACTTTGAAAAAATTAGATTCTTGAGAAATTTAACATTTTTGAAAAAAAAGGACTTTTATGACTTGAAAGTTTTTTTATTTCGAAATATTTTGGAAATTTTGAACTTTTTTCAAAGTAATCGCACTGCTTTTGCTGCATAGAGATGAAATGTCAAAGCGCTTAAGCGCCGCGTCACCGTCCAACGGACAAACGATGTTAAGGAACCCATAGAAATGTAAACAAAATTAATACATATTAAAATCATCATAAGATGTCGGATAATTTGATGTGCATATGTCTAATGATCATTTCTGACGTTTTCACTAGATCTCCAAATCCTCACAGAAGTTTTTAACATACACACAAATTGTTTTTCCAATTTGGTTGGAAAATGATTCAGTACGACTTGAAGCAGCAAGAAAACAAAATTAGCCAACAAGATTTTCTGACTAAAACCAATTTATAGTTCGGAAAAGAAAGCAGTAAAGCAAAATTTGTATTGAAGTAAAATAAAATTTATAAAAAAAAAATCTCGAGGTATTGAGGAAAAATGTTCATTTAATGCATCTCATATTTTGCTTTAATTAATATTAATGTTATGACATACCTTTCATTGTAAGCATTTCAGATTCAGTCACTTCCTCAGTGATGAATTGCCCTTTAGCAGCTTTTCGGTTATTCCATTCTTCCTCTGAAGGTACTATAACAATGGCTTTTCGAACAAATTCACCAAAGTTACTTATCTTTCTAATCTGGACTGCACTAAATACATTATTTTGATCAATAATGACATTTCTCCGCCTCTTGCCTGCAATGTTCACTAATTCTGAAATGCTCTTAGAGCAGGCCTCCAACAATGCTTGCCAACTTCCTTTGTAGGATGATTTCTTTGGTTCTCCATTTGTCTAAAAAATCAGAATACAAATTAATTAAAAATAGATCCAAATTAGAAAATAAAAGTGCTGGAAAAGGTATGATAGATATTCGCAATTTTGCATAATCATTTAACAGATCTATAGAAGAGTGCTGAAGATATTTAAAATAAAAACACATACGAATCATTCTATTTATTATGTTTAGCTTATGCTAATATAATTTACTATCACTAGTTTTCACACAGTGCTGTAGACATAGAAAATCACATCTATTAAAACTATATTTAAAATATCCATTATGTTGCCTGAAATTGATAAATTTATTTATCCAATAAGACTCCAAATAAGCCTTCATTCAGTTTTGATATAATCCATATCCATAATTCCCAGACGTTGATTTCAGATGTCATTTTCATAATATATTTCTTGGCAGCCCTTAACTTTTTCGTACACCATACAGAGATCACCAGGGCGTATTTTTTTGGAACAAAAAAGAATGTTCATATTCTATCATTGAAATTTGAAATAATTTCTGATTTTTTGGTTTTTTAACTTTTTTTTTTTTAAATTACTTTTAATAAACTTTTTAATTTTCGGCTGACACTAACTAGCGTGAACTTACATTGTGGTGCAAACTGAGCATTTTCAAATTTTCACATAACGCTCAGCCACGTCTCCAGGCACACAGAGTTAGTTTTCCATAAATTCTGTGGAAACTGCTCGGTCCCTTCACAATTTTTCTACAGGCACTATAAGCATTGTCATTAGAAAACAACTAACAAAAGAGATTATACAATTTTTGCAGTAAATTCTTTAAAGAATGCATTTAGTTTTTGAGCATATCATACAAATATAAGAATTTAAAAGTAAATTCCAATAAAAAATTATCCAGAATCTGAAAGCCATCACCATCCATTATGAAAGTTTCAAGACAATGTTTACAATAAATAATTTTAAGTCACTATGAATAGTAAATTATTTTAGAACTATTGATTATCCTTTTTAAACAAATAAATGTGCTCTCTTTGAGGTAATTATTACATAAAGTATTAAATAATTATGCATTAATATATTAATAATCATAGTTATCCTTGGTATTGAATTTAATGTGTCCACTTTTGATTATAAATTTAATATATCAAAAATTTAAATTTACTATTTTCAGTTCTCATTAAGAAATCTTATTTTAGTATCTTGTGAATTTGATGTGAAATAACTATATTAATGGTTGAAAAGATTACAACCTGTTTATAACCTGTAAAACGCTAATAAAAAATGAAATATTTTGAATATTTCCTTATTTTACATGGTACTTATATTTCATTACCACTTTCAAGCATCTATGCTGGAGCCTTGTACATAGATTTTCTTACTTATTTAATTAAAGCACTCCTAAAACATTATAATCTGATATTCAAATACTCAACTTTGATCCAAATTATAAATAAATATTTGCCTTTATATTTCCACAATAAATTTAAGATACTATTGAGGCAAATACTTGTCATCGAACTGAGAGTTCAGTGTTTAAGAGCTCAATGAATAGAATTATTAAAAATTATTGATTTTTTTTAAATTCATTAAAATGCACCAAACAGTAGTACATTGTGCTGATGCATATTGATGTAATACTTTGTTATATATTCACATTGGCATTTAAAATTTGTTTTCAATCATTTTGGAATGAAGTGCAACATCTACAAAAGTGCCTTCTAAATATCCATGCCAAAATAAGAGGCATGAAATAGATACCTACCGCTATTATTTTATTTATATGTTGCAAACAGTTTAAGTTCTTGCTACAAAAGATTTCACCTGTAAAGTGATTGCTACACAATGTTCATATTATGAACATATGAGATGTATTTTTAAAATAATGAGAACTTTAAATTTGTTTATCTGAGACAACTTCACAAAGTCTTGCTGTGCCTCAAATATATTCTGTTAATAGACCTAAAATTGTTATCCCTAAAATTCTACATCATTGAATGAAATAAAGTACAGTGAAAATAATGAATTTAAAATGATGGATAAATATCAGAACTCCACTATTATAAAAATGATTTAGACTTAGAGCATTATTTAAATTCATTATTAATAACAAAAAAACAAAATCGATTCTATTGTTGATCTCTTGCACATAAGAAAATAAAATCAAAACCCTCAATGAGCTATGTTCTTGTTAATAAATAATTTGCAGATTTATAGGTGAGCTCAAAGTTCCTCATCATCAATATTCTGTATCCCTAATGTTGACAAAGTAATTCAATGAGGCTTGTCAAAGCAAAATGTAAAAGCCCACATTAATCTCTTGTGCTTTTCCATTCCATCAAATATTTATCAATAACCGTGTATAAACTAAAAGATATATGCATAGAAATACCTTCATCCTATTTACTAGTTCATGTGTTCCCAGCACTGTGTATCTCTTTTCTGGATGCTCTCGAACCCATTTTTCTACCCAGTGTGTTTTTCCAACTCCTGGTAATCCACATAGCATCAAGACCTCACACTCTTTCCTCGTGTCGGGTTGAAGCGGTCCATCTACCAAAGAGTCGAGTGGAAATTTGCCTATGTATTCATATCCGGGCAGAATAAATAACTCTGGAACGTCCTAGATATAAAAAAACTATGTTGTAATAAAAGGAATGTAAAAAAGCAAAAATGGATTGTTGAGTTGAAGCTAGAAATGTATAGTTGTGATAGACTTTAATTTATAGAGCGATTTAAAGTGTATATTACTTCAATGTCAATCATTCAATTATAATTTATAAAAATTCAAAAAGTATAGTTTTAATAATTTTTTACCTCCTCAATTGGCTCTGGAACTGCATTTTCTTTAACCGTTTCTTCTGCTTTTGTTTCCTTCACAGCGTTTTCACCTTGTACCTCCTTTGATGCTTCTTTTTCTTCAGAAGCATCTGCTGCTTTTGCCATTTCAACGTCCGTAGATTTTACTAAATAATGTAAAATAATTGATATCTATTTATTGCAAGCAACAATTACATCCAATACAATGTTATTATAATCCTCATTGCATAGAAAAAAAATTAAGAGAAAAGGTAAAGCAACATACATAATCTTATATATAAAATTCTTCTGCAATGATGTATGTAAATATACTCCTTCTAAACAATTATTCGGATTTTGATAAATCTTTCTGAAGCTTGTTAAAGGAATTTTTCAGGATGTATGTGATTATAAATACATAGTAATTTGTAGAAATATGTGGAAAAAATTGCAAAAAACGATATTGAAAATATTTGAGACATTGTTTAGCATTGAAAAATGAATCATCTGCCGAAAATTTCAATTTACTTATGAGCCTAGATAATATTAGAATATTGTATAAATTCATGACTATGAATAGGAAAAATGAAACGTCTACATTATTGTTGCCAAAAGGCAGCTGAGATGTGCCAGTAATGTATGGCAGGTTGAATGATACACATATGAAGAGGATTTGACAAATTATTTCACCTAAAATTTGAAATTAAGTAATAATCAGGGCATGTCCTATAACTCAAGAAATATATAATTTCTTTGCACCTTTTTTCTAATCTTTCCAGAATATTTTTGAATTATGTTAAAAATTTCACTTTAAAACAACAAATGGGAACGTAAAAATGAATGCATACAATTCAGCTCTTACAATATAAATTAGGAGAGGTTTAAGATGCAATTTTGGATATCTTAAATGATAAAAAATTAAATTAAAATCATCCAGCATGAAGTACCAATGTTATATTATGGTTATGTTTAATAATGAAAAGCTCTCTATGAGTTGCTCAATAGAATGAATCACATAAAATGCCCAAAATAAATAACTAAAATGTTTAAAAAGCCAAAAATTATTTAATAATAAACTGTTAAAACAGGTAAAATAATAAGGAAGGTGCTAAAAAAAAACAATAACATCCGAGCGCTGAGGACACCAGGAGCATTCCTGGTAATAATGCATATTAAATTAATACTAAGAAACATGTGATTTAGATATTATAATTACTAAGAACCAGTTAAAATGTGGTAAAAGTTCATAAAAATTAGAGCAACTATTTTTGGTAAAAAAATTCAATGTAATATTGTACTTTTACCGCAGAAACTATGTACTATTTTTTTTTTAATTTATTATACCATTTTAAAGACTTCAATTTCTAATGTAGTGTGGGAATTGAGACTCATCATTTCATTTGAAGTAGTTCTACATTTAACATCTTTCATATAGTAAAATGTATATGCATTTTGGAGTGAAGAGTAATTTAAAAAACAATAAGCATTTTTAGGTAAACGGTAAATACTAGTATAGAATATTAAAAAATTGAAGGCATGGATACTGGACAATGTCTGTCGGGTCATCTAGTATATAGATTCGTTTCAAAACATACCTTCTTTAGATTCTTCAGAAGTGTCAGTTTCCATGGGCTCTTGCACAGGTTCATCCTTCACTTCCTTTTTGTCTTCCACTACCTTTACTACTTTTGGTCTATTTAACAAAGATTTTTCATTTTGACCGAAATTAATTTTAAATGATATATTCTTGGTCAGTACGTGAGGGAATAAAGCTTTGCCTTCAAGAATTGACTTTTCAAACTCTTTAGCAATTCCTTGTTCTTCGCCATTGACAGTGAATTTAATTGTGCATGGAGTAGAATCCAAATCCTTAAAAAATAAAAGAATGATAAAATTATTATACTTTCATGATGTTAAATGAAAGCCATATAGAATATTGAGAACTCACCAAATAAGCACCAACAACATCAGTCTCTTTAATCTGCACTCCATAATCTGTAAACTCATTATTACTAACAAACTTTCCAGAGCTTTCATAGCCGAAAGAAAGTGCATCTTCCCCTAGTTGTAATGTGTTTGAAGATGTAGAAAAACCAATACGAATCAAATGAGAACTCTCATCAGGCTAAAAACATAAAACAAAATCATAATTTCAATATTACCAATAACAAAATATTTGTATTACCAATTCTTCAATTATTACTACCTGATCAACTTTAAGGTGGCGTTCAACAAGAACTTCATAAGCTCCACAACCACTTGTAACACCTTTGTTGGTTCTGGCACCGGCCCAAACGTGACTAAGTGCACCAGCTGTTAGAGGGCTGGCACCACATAAATTGTCACGATCGATGCATAGATGCAAATCTGAATCAAACCAGCTTAATAAAACATTTGTATCGGAACTTTCCAGTTGAACTTCATCTTCTTCAGTGAGCATTTTTACTGGAGACCTTGAATGAGAATGCCTTCGTTTTAGGCTTCGCCGGCTGAAAAGACAATTTGAATCTGAGTAAACATCATAATAAATTATAAACTGATAAACATAAATTAAATTATACTGTCATGGAATATAATTATTTTTTTAATAAGATATTCTGTATTAAAATACCTGTCATCAGATTTTGCTTCTTCTGATTTTGCAGCTTTATCATTCGATTCTTGCTTTTGGTCTTGGAAATTGCTCCACCTTGATCTCTTCTCTTTCTTCTGTAAATTGAAAAATAAGGCTGGCATTAGTTTTAACTATATGATTCACTTTTAACAATTATAATTTAAATTATATCTATATATCGATTATCAATATCAATTTAATATCACAGCAACCTGTTGTCAATGTCAAAAGATTTTGTTCTAGAAAAACATTAAAAAGAGAATATTTAGTTAGCAATAGTAATAGATAAAGAATCTATGCACAAAATTTATAGAATAAAAATATGTATACCTTAGCTTTCGAGGTATCCACCGGACTATCACATGCTAATTCTGAATCATCGAATTTGGTGTTTTCTGATATATTGTCCTTATCAGATTCTTCAATGTTACTCTCAGAGGATTTGTTATGTACACTATCATCTAGTAACATTTTTTCATCCTCCTCCAGAGTGTCGGCTTTGTCCAATGATGTTTCTGCATGATCTTCTTGGCTCATTTCTTCCTGTGTTTCCATTACTTCATCCTTTTTAGATGGAGATTCATCAATTTTCCTCGGTGTATTTTGTCCAGGTGTTGCAACATCCTTTTTGGGTGGAGTTTGTTCTTCCTTCTTTACTGGAGTTGTTTGTTTTTCATCATTCTTGCTTGGCGTTGGTTGCTTATCTTTCACAGGCGTTGTTTGCTTATCTTTCACAGATGTTGGTTGTTTTTCATCACTTTTAATTGGAGTTGTTTGTTTCTCTTCCTTTTTAATTGGCGTTGGCTGCTTATCTTTCAAGGGCGTTGTTTGTTTTTCATCACTTTTTATAGGTGTAGCGATTTTTTCTTCTGCTTTTGTAGGTGTTGAAGATTCTTCTACCAAAGACCTTCTCGAACTTGTCCTCCTTGAAGGTGATTCTTTTTCTGGTTGTTCTTCAACCTTTGTAACTGTCTTTTCAATCTCTGGCTTCACTCCACCAGATTCAGATTGATCAGACAAAGCAGCCACAGGTTCTACTGCTGCAACATTGTTCTCTTTCTCGTCATTTTTGGCATCATCTGACAAACTTTCAATCTCTTTACTTTCGATGCTGATGTTCTTTTGTTCCGTCATTGAATCCCCATGAGTGGTAACACTTTGTTCATCATCATCATACGTTTTTGATACATTGATACTGTAAAGATCAATAGCAGGTTCTTCTGATTCAGTCTTGCTTTCAGGAACTTGTTCCTCTTGTTCAGTTTCCGATTCTGTGATCTGTGCAAGAGACTGCTGAATTTTAACAGGGGTGGGTGCAGGCTCTTCTACGCTGGATCTTCTACGACTGGTGCGTCTTGGAGTAAGGACTTCTGTCTCGGTGCTCTTGCGTCGCGAACGACCGCCACGGGGCGTTCTAGGGGCGATAGCTTCAGTATCTGTGGATTCTGCCACTTCATCTTGAGTTGCACCTAAAATGATAAATAGATATTAAAATTCATATAAACAAAAGCTATATTGAGTAGAACACTAACTCTTCAACATAACCTGCAAAATATTATTGAAGTAAAATGAAGAGCAAATACATTTTAAATATTCTATAATAATGCTATAGCAGGAAAGTTATACAGCAGCGAGGTTATTATAATATAAAGTAAATAAAATCCTAATTAACAGTATATTGAACCAAAATCTGACTGAATGAAATAAACAACTGTCTATATTTTCTATCTTAGTATTTCTGTCTTAGGTTGATTCATAAAATCAAAATCTATGATCAAAATCTTACCTTTCAGTATAATCATATTAAAAGTAACAACAAAATTGTAATAATAATTAGGTGAACTGTTCAATCAATACAAATTTTAACACTAAAAGTTAAAAACAAAATTTGGTTGTTATGAGAAACAATCATGAAGGTAGTCACAAATTGAAAATTTGTACAACTACATGAATACAGTTTGTATGCAAAATTTGAAAAATATCAGTTTCAGGATTAAAATGGCAGTGATAATTAAAAGAATTTTAAATAAACAGTTTAATCAATATTGAATAAAAATTGTAGAAAATTGATTCACAACATCAACTTATAAAAAAAATAGCAGCAAATCATAATCTGTAATCTTCCAGCAATATCAAGTTTACTGAATAAAGGTATTGATTAGCTATTACATTGAACAAAATTTTTATTATTTCTAGAACTCAAAAATGAGTAGAATATTTTAGGATTATAGTTTATCCCAAATATATTTTGACTAACTCCATCTCAATTTATTTTGGTAATTCATGAATACAATTTGTATACAAAATTTGAAATTTTTTTTATAATCAACGTTATATTTAATAGAAAATGTAGAGAACTAATTCACAACATCAACTTACAAAAAAAAAAAATAATAATCATAATCTGTAATCTTGAAGTGATATCAAGTTTACTCATTATAGGTATTGATTAGCTATTACATACACTACATATTTACAATTTTATTTGAACAAAATATACATTCTTTCTAAAACTCATAAAAAAGGAATAATATTAGGATTATAGTTTTTTCCAAATATATTTTGACTAATTTCATCTCGATTCAATATAATTTGATAAATTATAAAGGGTTAAGACTTCATAATAAATTTAAATCATTTATAGAATAGCGATCATAATCTGTAATCTTAACCTATAGGAAGAACTTTTATATTAGATTTTTTCCATTTGTTTTATTTAATAAAGTAAAAAGTAATATTAATGGTCAGTTGTATTAAAAATCTTAAACATTAATATTAAAAACCAGATAAGAAAGATGATCCAAAGAAATTTATTCGACTTCCTAATATAATAAATAAATGTCTATGAATACAGACCGATGTCTATGACTTCACTAAAGAGATTACAAATGATAATATTATAAAATAGAACATTAAATCTTATAAGTCAACAATTTTAAAGGCAAAGATAAAATTAGCCATAAATTTATTCCTAATATAATAAATATATTAAATAGAGCCTGATGGCAATGTATTTCATTAAAGTTATTATGTTATAAATAAATTATTATATTATTTTGAAATACAAATGTAAATCTTATGAATCGATAGTTTAAAGGGCATGGATAAAATTAACTAAACATTTTTATTTGTATTCTGAATAAAATACCATTAAATAAACCATATGGCAATGTACTAATGTAATATTACTAAATAATTATAAAGTTATTTTTCAATAGAAAACTAAATGATTTTAAATTACTGTATAAAATTTATTTATCCCAATATATTCAAAAAAGCGCGTGAGATACCAGTATGACTTAAATTATAAAATCGAGTGAAAATTTTGTCTAAAATTCCATCATTACTTGGTTTATATAAGATTAGTTGTAAAATATAAATGTGATTTATTAATATAGTATGAATCCAATGTATTATTGATATAGTATAGATAATATTGTTACGGTATTATCATATGATTTTATCATAAACTCACTAAAAATGTGGGCAAGATTTTTTCAGATAATAATTAAAGACTGAAATTTGTTATAAACCATATAATAGACTCGCTGTTGTAAAAGGTGAAATTATAAGAAAACCGTTAGTAAAATTTTCATACTGTAACACAATTATTAAATTGTAATAGAAATTTGAGGCTTACGAAATAGTTAAGATAAAAATTAGGTAACTGCAACAAACACATGCATAAA